ATTTAAATACGAATCATTAATTATATTTTTGGAGATCGTTTTTCTTTTATTTTTATTTTTATTTGCTTGCATTATTATTTGCGACGTGATATCACATAATAATCTTTGTCTTTTGTCTTTTAGGTCACTAAATAGTGTTTTCTTTGCATTTTGTCTTTTTGGTTAATGATAGTATTTGACAGTGCTAAATTATGTAGAGAATCTCATAATGAGAGAAATAACAATTAAGATAACTATAATATAATAATTATCGACGCATGTAGAATACGGTTTCTTTAAAAGCAGATTCAGTATTTGTATGAGCATTCTTTTTTCAAGATACAATAAATAGTATTTGTTTGTGCTAAGTAACTTTTTTTTTTTGTTTTTTGACCGTGCGATGCACGGAACTCATTTTTAAACCTTTTTTTTAGAATTTATTTTAAATATAATTATTTATATTTTTTACATCTCATCTCATTATAGAATTAAAATAAATAAAAACAATGAAAAATTATATATTATTAAACACTTCTCTTTATGAAATATTTTTTAATTAATGAATATTATTAAACCTTTTTATTTTGATTTTTTTTTTTAAAAATCAATTAACTAATCTAGGATTGTTAATGTACATAAAGTAATGGAACGAATCCAAACTTTAAAGTAGAGCTTTTTTTTTTCTTTAACAAATCAACACCATCCAATATTTCTTTTAAGCAACTTTATATTGCAATTTCAAAAAACTTGTTTTAGGTGGGATGAACGAAAATTTTCAAAATTGAAAATACATTATTTGGTTTAAATAAAGATTATTCAGATATTTAAAAAGCTTGATTATTGTAATTAGCATGTAATAAACACAAAAGTGGAAAGAAAAAAAGATCTCCAAAAATATAACTAATGAGAACCCTAAAAGTTCAAATCATGTCCAAACCACATGAAAAAAAAAAACATGATTTCTCCTCACCCAACTTTTGTGCACTAAGACTATATTTATCCACACCTAATTCAATCCAACCCATAAATATTTTTTTTTTCTCTCATCTACCTACACAACTAGAGATGTCAAAACGGGCTGGCGGGGCGGGCCAGCCTGCCAAAACACGCCATTTGGCGGGGCGGGGCAGGCCGGCCCGCCATCCTGGCGGGCTGCAAAATGGCCAGCCCGGCCCACCCCCGCCATGGTGTTTGTAGTATTTTTGGGTAGTTGGTAACCGAGTTACCCGGACTCGGGTCATTCTCAAAGGAAGACTATTCGGACACGGATTCAAGCAACGATCGACTCACACAAGAAAATAAAATAAAGA